TTACTGCCGTGTATATGGCCAGTAACTCTCGGTTGTATAGGCTGTTTATACTTCCGTTGTGCATCGCTCAGTTTCTTGCTTAAGAAAACCAATGGCTGTCAGCTCTCCTTGTCTCTCTGCTGGAGTACGGCTCCGATGGCTGTATCGAAGGCATCCGTTATTAGTCGTAGTTTGGCTGTAGTTTCTGGGTGTACTAGCATGGTGGCGTGTGCTAAGCTTTCTTTGCTGTTTGTGAAGGCTTTCTCTCTTTCCGGTATCCACTCTACCGTTTCTTTCTTTTTACTTTCCCTTGTAGTGCATCGTTCAGCGGTACTTGTACCTGCGCAGCTCTTGGTATAAACTTCCAATAAAAATTTAACATACCCAGGAACTGGCTGCTTTATGGTTGCTGGCTTCGAAAGTTTCGGATTGCCTCTACTTTGTCATGTGGTGGCTTGGTGCCTTCATTCGATACTTTGTATCCCAGGAATCTGAACTTATTTACTCCGAGTACGCACTTGGCTGCGTTTACTCTCCCCATACTTCTCAAAGCATGTGAAGATCTCCCCGAGATTGTCATGCTCATCTGATGTAGCTGATGCTACGAGGATATCGTCTATGTATGCGTAGCAATAATCTAAACCTTGTAGTACTCCGTTGATAAATCTTTGGAAAGTTTGTGCCGCGTTGCTTAGTCCGAATGGTATATACTTGAATTCATACATCCCAAATGGTGTGATAGCTGTCTTTGGTACGTCTTCCGGGAATATTGGGATCTGGTTGTATGCGCGCATTAGGTCTAATGTCGAGAATATTTCTCTGCCATGCTGCGTGTAAAGTCTTTCAGGTGTGGGATAGAATATCTGTCCGCTACAGTCCTTGCGCTGAGTCTTTTGTAGTCGCCACATGGTCACTACGTGTCGTTCTTTTTGGGCACCATGTGCAATGGTGATGACCACGGACTTTTGGAAAGTTGTATAATGCCTTTCTGCAGTATTATTTTAAATTCTGCCTCGAGGCTGCTTTTAATTTGTATACTGGTAGTCTCCTGGGCTTGCTTCCAGTAGTCCTGGTATTGTCTGGATATGATGTATCGTTTCGTATGCAATGTTGTCTCGTTATTCACGTCAGCTCTGGGTACTCCACTAAGATGTTGTGAAACTTTGTGTGTGTTATCTCTGTTTTACTTTGCTGCGATCATGTTGCTGTCCCTTTCACTTTAAGTCTCGTCTTGTTATTTATTAGCCTCCTTCTTTTCATTGCATAGAGACGGCATGATTGAGGGCTGTTGTCAATGGTCGCCGTCACTGCATACCCTCATCGTTTTCCGACTTCTTTTTAAAATCGCAAAGCTGTTCGCATTTGCGTTCTTTCGCTCCAAAACGCCTGTGATAGTAATAGGTTGTACACGGCTTCCTAACTCTGCTCCGGGATCTGCTCTGAGATCTATCTATCTTTTGGAAATCTTCTCTCCTCCTGTCAAGGTACCTAGCCATCTTTCCGACCTGTGTCTTTAATGCTGCTACTTGCTTCCGCAGTTTTTCCACAAGATCTTTGGCTACCGATGCCTTCGTCAGTTGTAGTCCCGCGGTTGCCATGAACACTGTTTTGCTTTCGATCGCGTTTCGCTATTCGGTCCGCTTGGTCTGCTACGCTGTGATGGTCGTCGTCTCCTCTTGTAGTTAGCATTGTCTGCATCTGTGCTGTAAGTCTTCCCAGCCACAGTGTACGTAGCACCTTTTCCAAGAAAAAGCGATCCCTGCTAGTGTGGAGAGATACCTAGAAATTGGGATGATTTTCTGTCCTTTATTTTTTTTTGTTTTTAACAGCTGCCTTATGCAATGTTCCTGCGAGTCTGTTAGTTTTTGTGCCCTTTTAAGTGCTTGGTACTTTCCGCTGCTCGAGAGGTTGAAGATTATATCTTTAACTTCCCTTGCTTGCTGTGGCTCTATCTTCGAAAAAGCGTGTATGTATTTTTTATGGTCGCTCGTCACCTTGCACAGTTCAAACTGGCTTTCTATTTGTGCGAATCATAACTCTGGTTCGTCCGATCAAAATGGTGAGATTCTTATTACGACCTTATTGATTTGTGTGTCATCCTCGACAATGACTGATGCGTCGCCTGATTTGTCCATTATAGCGGCCAGTTATGATCACGTCGGGATCATCAGTTATGGTGGTTGGTTGCGTCGGTGTTGTGCGTGTGTGGCCGGTCGTCGCCTTTGTCTTCAGCGTCTCTGGTAGCGTGCAAGTTATTTTCGCAAAGAAGGATTCCGTCGAGTGACGAGACAGAAGTGTAACGATTTACAGTGTATTTACACAAGCTATGTACAGTGGTGTTAACCCTGAAGAGGGCTGTTTGTGGTATTTTATGTGGCCCTGAAAAGGGCCATTGTGTCGCTGCGTCAACCACATTACGCGTTTGCGAAATGGCGACTTGCAGTGTATTCATTTAGCGAGGTCCTAGCGTTCACTGCTTTTGTTGTTGCAGTCGATCTCGGTGGTGTGACCTGTAGGTGGCAGCAGGAAGGTAACTCTCCTTTGCCAGGTCGCTAGGGTTCCCAGCGACGTGTGTGGGGAGAGCTGTACGTGCCTCAACTTCTGCGTTTCCCCGACGTCTGTGTGCCGGTGGTGATCCTAGGCGGTGTCACAGGTAGCGATGAGACGGCGGCCGGAATGGTGAGATAGTTCGGCAACATATATTTCCTGGCGGTCCCATGTGCTGAGGAGTACTCGTGGCGGTCGTGTGAGCCTCAGGCGCTGCGGTCAGACGTCGAGCGGGATAAGTAACCTTGACGGTGGGCGTGGAGTCTCCGGTGCTGGCTGCTTCCATCTCTGCCTGCTGGCTGTTTTCGCGAGACCGCACTGCTCCTCTGCTGCCAGGTCGCCGGGCGTTGCCTCTGCTATTCCGCGGCTTCTTCGCTGTCCGGCTGCTGCTGAGCGGCGTCTCTGCGATCCGGCTACTGGACAGCTGTAGCTCTTCGGCCAGTAGGCACTTTCGATAACCTCGAGGTTCCAGTTTAGTAGCCCCGGTTTAACACATGCTCGGAAGTGCAGTGAGCGTGCCTTCCCTTATTCTGATGAGTTTTATATCTCCCATTCGATGGATATTGAGCGCGGGTTTTTGTTAAACGCGCCAGTCCCCTGAAGGCTAAGCTGCGGTATCTGCGCTTTGTCGCGCGTGCATGTCGTATATAATGAGTTGTCATGTGTGGCGGTCTTGCGCGGTATACGGAACCGCCACAGTACTTACAAGTAACACTACTTAACTATCACTCACCAATCTGGATGAAATTATACACATTTGTTTAACAAAAATATTGAAAAATATTAAAATCGTGTTTATATTTTTTCCCAAAATTAATTTTAAGTTGAAACCATCTCTCAACCACTTCCAAGAATGGATTTTAGATTAATATTTTCGATATTTATTAGTTCAAAATTTAATGGCACAGATAATTCAGAATTTACTGGCACAAGATTTATACATTTATTGGAGCCGTGCCGCTTCATTAAATCCTGATTTTCATCTTATTTTTGCTATTCTTTGAAGATAGCGGAGTCTGTATGGAAAAGTGTCCTCCAAAATTTTATGATCTTAAAATTTATGGGAAAACGCATGTGTCGTGCGCCAAGAAGGCACACATGCATCGTCCTCCACGAGACCACCCAGAATCTACCCCTAAACGTCGCGTGCCACTTTTTGGATTTTGTAATCACGAGTTCGCGAAAATTATTCGCGACTTGACGCCGGTAATCTTGGCGCCGGTCTTACGCTTTCACTACATATTTATTATTAATTTAGTCTATCTCGGAGCGACATTCACGAGGAGACACTGGATTCCTCATTTTAGTTTTTAGTGTAGAAAAAAAAGGAAAGAAAAAAATTTTAGTATTTTAACGAATTCCAGATCTTCACGAAAGAAAAGAGTCGTGGGAGTCCGCCGGACGTACCACTACATTGACAATATAAATAGTTTTCTGAATAATTCTGAATAATTATTTTTTAATAGTTCTCAATAGTAGGTACTCAATTGTTTCTCTCCATACGGGTCAAAAAATAAAAAAAAAATATTTTTTAAAAAGCAAAAAATTTTAAAAGTTTTGAAAATTGTTTTTAAAATTTTATATATATATACAATTTATTATATAAAAATATGTATTTTTTGTAATATTACTTCAGGGGATCTTAAAGTAGGCTGTATTACCGATTAAACCATAAAATTTGTAAGTAATATATTATATATTCTGAAAAAAAATTTAGAAAGTAATTAGACTCCTTATAATTGTACATAAAAAATCAAATTGTAAAGAGGGTTAATATGGAGCCAACGTTGTAAGTAGTGTGTAAAAATTCTCTATAAATTATTATTTAATAGATAGTATACAAATAATATACATTTGTTATTATTTTTACACCACTTACAGTGTTGACTCCATATTAGCCCCCTTTGCAATTTAATTTTTCATATAATCTTTATATATAACAGTTACTTTGTTCCTCTCTTATCGATTTGAAAATCCTTTTCCAGGATTAAAGTATACGTATTTATACGTGTCTCTGAAGTGGAATCTATGTTGAAAATAACAAAAAATTTCGGAGATTTTTTTTACCATTTCTTAAAATTATTCTAATGTGACGCTTCAAAATTATCACGTCGTGATTATTATATTTGCTTTATATTAAAGCTATCTATATTTACGAAATTATTGTAATAGTTCACAGTAGTTTGCATGAAGAAACAGCGTGGAATTCTGAAAATTGGACTTAGACGTCTAATTACAACGTGATTGTTATACGACAATTTATGTGTATGTGTGGTGTGCGTGAGTGAGATATTGATGATAGTGTCAATGATACATAAATCTCATTATTCTGTCCATATTGTCTGTGTTTAAATGCTGTTTACAATATGACTAATCATTTTTAGGATTCTCTTAAATAATACAAATATTAAATTTTGTTGTACTTTAAAATAATTGAAACTACTGTCTACTAAAGTTTATAAATAATTATGTAGGACCAGAAAATTGGCCAGGAATATGTATGACAGGAAAGAAGCAATCGCCGATTGACATCGTGACGGAAGATGCTATAAGAGTTGATCTCGGTGCTCTTAAATTCCACCGATATGACTTCGCTTTTCCTAGTACGATGATTAACACTGGACATTCCGGTAAATAAATAGAATGTAATACATTTTACTGTTCAATGTTTTGGTTGTACATTTTTTAACAAAACTGATTACCAATTATATGTTTTAATAAATATAAATTAATAGAGAGTAAAAAAGTATGTCCCTAAGAATCTGACATTGGATTTTATGTGTTCTTTTTATTTTTATTACATATAAATTATAAACGTTTCAACCAAATGTTTTGAGTCATCATCTTCAGTACACAGAGTGTTTCCTGTAGAGATATACTCTATTACAGTAATATTGCTTATTTAAAAAATTATTCATTTTGCATACATATTTTTTTTATGCAACTACCCAATGGGAAGAAAATGTTTTTAAACGTTTTTAAAACGTTTATTTTTTATTAATTTTCTATTTCACGATTTGTTTTCAGGATAACATTTATTTAATGTTTATTAAATGTTTTTTAAACGTTAAATCGTAATAAATTTTACGTTTTATGATTTGTTTTTAAAATAAGATTTTTTAACGTTTATTTAACGGTTTATTAAATGTTCGTTTTACATTAATTTTTCGTTTGAAATAATGTTTCAAAGGAACGTTTTTTTAAACGTTTGTTTAAGGCCTGTTCTACAATGCACTTTTTGTTTCTCATTTCTTGCTTTTTACCTTTTGTTTTTTTCTTCTTTGCAACCTCTTTCTTTTATCGACACTTATATTTCTTGCTACGTATTTCTTTCAAAGTTTATTAATTTTTTATCTTGGACGATATAAAACAAAAAACCGGCTAAGAAACAAGAAGACAAGATGTAAAAAATAGTAAAAAGTAACAAAAAGAAACAAAAAGCCGTTGTAGAATAGGCTTTAGGTTTATTAAATGTTTGTTTTACGTTATTTATTTATTTAAAATATATTAAAAAAACATTTATTTTATGTTTATTTAACGTTTAATATAAAAGTTAAAAAAATTATATTATTTTCTAAAATATTTAAATAAATAAAAAACAGGTTGGAATAAAAAAATAAACACGGAAGAATAGTTAACCCAACATAATGCATCAAGTGTTTCATTTATGGACAATAAGAACTATGTCCATCGACAATTATAAATGACGTAACGGATAAGGTATGAGACTCATAACCCTGAGATCCCAAGTTCAAAATTCGATAAGTTAAAAAGATAAAAAATATAATTAAAAATTATTATTAATTAATAAAATTGGTTGTCTAAAGTTAAATGTACTATTAATAAAAAATAAATTACAAAAGATATTCTGCGTTGTACAATATATTTTTTAATTTTGTTCAAATAATTTTAATATTAAAACAACGTTTTTTTAACATTAAAAAAAACGTTATTTAAACGTTTGAATAAATGTTTTTTTAATGAAAAAAAGGGGACTTTTCTTGTTATTTTAAAAGTTAATTTATTACAAAAACGTTTTTGCTAAATCATAAAAAAGCATTTTTTAACATTAAAAAAACATTTCCTCGAAATATTAAAATAATATTTTTTTAGCATTAAACAAACATTTTTTTTAACGTTTGAATTAACGTTTTTTAAATAAAAAAAAGGAAAATTTTCTCTTATTTTAAACGATTTTAAAAACGTTTTTTTAACATTTTCAAAAATGTTTAAAAAAACGTTTTTTTAAACATTTTTTTCCCTATTGGGTATGTGTTTTTTTTTCTTTATATCGATTAATTTATCTCATTATTCTGTTCATAAAATTAAAGTAGGATTATCAAAAAATTAATAATATACAAGTTATTTAACATTTTATATCAATATGTGTCGGCTAGAATAAAATATAAAATATCTCGTAAACTATTGATTTTTTGATATCTTTACTCTAATACTTTTATATTCAAAATAATTAGAGGAATTATATTGTGTAAAAAAATCATACAATTTTATTTTAAAAAGTGAAAGTGGCTTTGAAGAAAGATGTGTCAAAAGATATGTCCTTGAGCAAAATTTTGATAAAAGTACCGACTAAGAGACCAAGCTCCAATGATCTTAACCTTGACATATGTTATGAAGGTCATGATCCTGATTGATCTTCAATAGGTTTTAACCATCGCTCGTTATTCATTAAAAAGTTATTAACAATCAAAGCTGATAATTATTTCATTACTTTGCATGAAAAGTCGGACTCTAAACAGAGGGGAATCGACTAGGAGAGTAATTTTCCACGCAAAGCGAGGTTTACCCCATCTCCCTTTTGCCAAGAACGCGCAACTTTCCACACGAAATGAGATCCACCCCCCTCCCTCTTACCTGATTAAAATTATGCTCCTTTATGCAGTGGGGGAGATATACCTCTTATAAGATGGACCTTTCTTCGCTTGGAAAGTCGTACCTCTCTAAGCAGAGGGGGAAGGGGTGAAATTCGTTCCACATGGAAAGTTGTATATCTCTGTGACTTTCGCAATGTTTTAACCGTCGTTCGTTATTCGTTAAAAAGTTATAAACAATCAAAGTTAATTATCATCTTTGATATTTTGAACAGTTATACAATAAACTTATACATTGATTTATATACTGTATAATATAATTTATACTGACAATGAGTAAAGTTCAAATTATAAAGTTAAACACATATTTATATGTTAAATTTATTTGTTTATAACTTTTTAGCGTCAGCTAAAACTTGTTGAAGGTAACTCAGGAACATATGTTAAGATCATTGGAACTCGATCCCTTTATAATCAGTATTTTTACCAACAACGGAGATATTATAAATGATCTAGTTACTGGAATATAAATGTTCATTCATTAATAACAGTTGCAAGTTATCACATATAGTCACATAAATAGTGTAGCAAGATGTTTAATGAACCGTATTCATCATGTCGCAGATGTAAAAATTACGTCATATCAAATAAATCAATAAATACAAATTGTTATCAAATGATAAAGACGTAATGAGATTTCATGGAAGTATAATTTTAAATTTGTGTTAATTTATAATATTATAATAGATATATGTCGTCAATTTTGTTGGATATGATAATTATGTACAGAACACACACACACACACACACAACATTTGGCAATCTTATGAAATTGAGGATAACAAAGAAATCAAAATTTTATCAAAATTTTTAAATATAACATATCGAATCGAAGCAAGAGCCTGCAAAGTATTATTCCGCGAAAGAAATTATATTTTTTTGTACTTTCAATATCTTTGGATTGAAATTTTTTCTTAGTGCAAATACTATTTCATGGTGTACCACTTCATCTCAGTGGCGGAAGTCTATCATCAATGTTTGTTTTGGAGCAAATGCACTTTCATTGGAGTGCAGAGCATACTGTGGACGGTTTACGTGATCCACTAGAGTTACATCTAGTGCATTATGATATAAAGTATACAAATTTTAGCGTAGCCTTGCAACATAAATACGGGATTGCTGTGGTTGCTGTTCTATTTGAGGTGATAATGTGTTATTAATTTCAGTATTGCTTTTTTTTAAATTGAGAATTTTTTCACACAAAAATTATGTATGGACATAACAACGTAATATTTTGTTATAGTTGAGCAGTGATGATAATCCAGATCTGTCGCCCATTGTAGATGCAACAAAGTTGGTATCAAATTGGGTGGGACATAATATGATACACGTAAGGAATAAGCTGATACCTTTATTGTTCCTACCAAAGGATCATACTACGTATTACAATTACGAAGGATCTTTAACTACACCCGCATGCCAGGAAGATGTATTGTGGTTTGTTATGACTGAGAAGCTTAAAGTGTCGGAAACACAGGTAACTTGAATGTAAAAATAAACAGAACGTTTAGTTGTGAGATTATTAATTCTTTTATTTTTGTATAATAAATTATAAGTTAATTAGCTATTGACAATGCTCATATTGATGAGATTTTTATTAAATTCAATTCTTATCACCTACGACTACAATTTACAATGGAAATTGGTGGAGACTTATTAAATTTCTTGGACATTTGCTTGATAAAAAAAAAGGAAACTCTTATTTTTGATTGGTATCGTAAACCTACATTTTCGGGTCGTTTTCTTAATTATTTCTCATGGCATCCTCTCTGTCAAAAAATTGGCACGATTATTGGTTTGATCGATAGAGTTTTATTACTTTCTCATTCGAGTTTTCATAAAAAGAATTTTGACATAGTTATAAAAATCCTTCTGAATAATGGTTTTCCTCTAAGTTTGATATTTTCAACTATCAAAAAAAGACTTTACAAAAAATTTGATCATTTAGAAAGATGTGCTACCTCAATCTTCTCAATCCAATGTAGTATTATATATAAGATTGACTGTAAAGATTGTGATGCGTTGTATGTTGGACAAGCAGATGCCTAAAAACGCGCATAAGTGAACATAGGAATCATATTAATAGAAACACGATCCAACATTCGGTTATCACATAACATCAGACTTATTTCATGATTTTAATTGGGACAACGTACATATTTTAGACAAAGAGCAAATTTTACATAAAAGATTGTTATCAGAGATATATATTAAAAAACAAAAACCAGGTCTAAATTTACAAAACGATACACTTTCTCTTGATCCGTTATATATTGATCTATTTTCAGAGACGTAATGCTTCCAATCTATATCGTTTATATATTTGTTATTTATTATTTATATTTTTACTTATTGTCTTTGTAAGTACATGTTCTGTTGTCCATTGTTTCTCTCACTTTTCATTTTACATCTGTCTACCAAACAGTTATGTCGTGTCTAATATTTTAAAATTTTATTTCATGTAAGTGAATTTTTACTATTATTTATATTAACTTTTTAATTTATTCACATTTGTATTACACAGTAAATGGAATTTAATGGAACATGTGCAACAATCCTTATAAAAACAGTTCAATCTTGATAGTCATGTAAGTTTTTTTACCATTTTTTGTGTATAATCTCATGTTAGCATTTTTTAATTATTTTTAACCTCGTGATCGTTTTTAAAACAAAAATATTTTTCTTTTTAGTTAACTTAGTAATTTAATAACCAAGATTAACTCGGACATCACTACCACGTTTTTTCTCGCTTTTTATGTTATTAGTTTATACTCGTATGCGCTACCATTATGTAATTTTGTTAATATGTATATCTTTTGTACTGAAGAGAACCTTGACCATAGGTCGAAACGTATACGTTTAATATTCATTTTGAATAAACGGTATTAAAATACACACTAATAACCAGTGTCGGCTCAAATTGGCATTTTTTATGTTATTTTTTATAAGTTAATTATTTTCTTAGAATTCTTTTGGATTAATAATAACAATAATAATAATAATAATAATTGTATTAGTACATTAATATTATTTAATCTATTTTCAGATGGACGTATTTAGACAAATGGATGGCAGTAATGGTACACTGAAGTTCAATTACAGACCAATTCAAAAGCTCGGGGACAGAAGAGTGTACCATCGTCTAGAGGGATATATTAACACGTCGTCGAATATTACCTGGAGTGTCTCTACAGTTCTTATCATTCTTCTAGTCAGATTTTTAGTATAAAATAAAAATAAGCGCCAAATCAGACTTTATGTTATAACACGTACAACGTGATATGACAACTGTTATATGTGATATAATTTATTGCACTGCTTTGAAAAGTAAGATGTGCATTTATGAAGATCGTTTGAAAAGTTTTGAGCCTTAACATAAAAATGGCATTACTTGTCAAAACTATTTTGGTACTACAATCGTACATGTTTTGCAAAATACCTGTGAAAATTGTAGCCATTTTGGATGCTCAGTTGTTGTTTGAGAGTAATTTGTGCCAATCAATGTCAATGTTTTTGTAAAAATGGAAAAAAATCGAATAAAATGAAATATCGACAATCGCCATAACAAAAATTTACGAATTGTTCAAATTAATTAATTACCCACCGTATTCACCAGATGTGATACCCAATGACTTTTCCTTGTTTTCTAGGCTCAAAGTTGGGCTCGGAGGACATAGATTTTCATCAAACAAAAACACTGACATCAACTGGCACAAATGACTCTTGATAACAACTAAGCGTCCAAAATGGCTACAATTTTCACAGGTATCTTCCAAAACATGTACGATTATAGTATTAGAATGATTTTGACGAGTAATGCCATCTTCATGTTGAGGCTCAAAACTTTTCAAACGATCCTCTTATTATGACAAATGTTATATACTTGCATAAATGCATTATTTGAAAAGCAATGTGTTTTACAGAAACATTGAAACCTGTGGGATTATTATCAAGGTTAATATATAAAAAGATAAGTTTTACAAATAATGAAGAATCCTTTTCTTATAATCTCCTTCTATTCTATTGAGATATTGGATTTTCTATTATTAATTATTTGATTGTTAATTTTTATGTATGAAAAATTCTTTTCATGTAAACAGTTTTTGTAATACAACACAAATATATAGCAATATATATTGCTATATAATATCTAATTATTATTTAATATTCTTATTTAATTCTTATTTAATATTTATGTTGTGTCTAATCCAATATTAATAGTGATTGAAAATTGTTGATTTATTAATAGTGTGTCCGATGAATACACCGATGAATAATATGTGAATAAATAAATAAAAAAATGAATGAAAATATTTATTTAAATATATTTATTTTTTATTTGTTAAAAGAAACAAATAAATATTTGTTCATTTTATTTGAATAAATATTTTTTTAATATTATGAATATTTTCATTTCACTTTTATTGTATATTATCTGCACATAACTTGCAAGCTTAAGAGAAAGAAATCTATAAAAACAATAGCTACGGTTACACTGTGCGCTTAGTCCGCGAGTTATACAATGGGCGTTTTTATTTAACCTATAGCTTAAACAAAGACATTTTTTTTTAGAATAATATATCTCGAAATTTAATGTCCACAGACCATAATGAACGTCGCGTCCAAGATATCCTGTAAAATATTTATAATATTATTGTCATATAACCGGAATTATATCAAAATGTATATGGCGCTCTATCAAATAAGTAGATTTATAAATAAAAAATGTATATCTTTCTAAAATATTTTTAAAAGTTTCTAGGTTTTGTTTATAAAACCTGAATATTACAATGATAAAAATAAATAAAATTTTTTTTATTTAAAGTCATCAAAGTATCGGTTATAGTTAAGAGGTAACTATTGCTTGTTGTTTTCTTTTTCAGTTTATATTTTGTGTGAATATATATGAACTCGCTAAATATTCATAGTTTTTTTGTGAATAAATATTTTTTGAGGACTCAAAATTTTGAATGAATATATGATTACATTTTTTTTATGTGAAAATTTTGAATAAATACAATTTGGAGCTCAATTATAAATTTTTGTATTCATCAGGCATACTATTTGTGAGTACAGACTAAAACGCATAACAAAATAGCGCATTTTTATGAAAATATGTTCCTATTTTTGTGTACATAAAAATATAAATTATGTTAAATTTAATTCTATAATATTATACATATATTATATTAATTTATGTAGCTTTATTTACCACTGACAGATTTTTAGCTAAATATGAAATGGGTTAAAATATCTCTTTAATTAAACTTTAATTCCTATTTGTTTTATCATTTTAATATTTAATTAGTTTAAAGCTATTTTACAAAATAGCTTTAAATTAATTAAATATTATTAAAAATAAATGTTTATGTTTGATTTGTAAAGCTTCTTATGTTTAATTCGTTTCTTATTTTTAGCGTTAAAGATAAAAGTATTAATAACTAATATAAAATCTAATTATAATTATTTGGAAAATTTTTTATTTTTAATAATGTTTCTGAGATTCTTTCATTAAAATAAGATCAGGGTACATATTATGGAATTATTTGAAATGGATTTTGATCGAAATTATTCAATTATTGTCTAGATATCTATTGTATTTTTTAGGAATAACAGAATATAATTCCGATCGGATTTCATTCCGACTTGTTCCATAATAGGTGCCCCATAGGCATGAGTGTCTCGGCGCTAAAACAAGCACAGCGACATGTAATGCGAGACCGATCGCCACTTAACGCGAGCCGGCGAGTTGCGGGAAATTTAGATTATATCGAATTCAAGCCAATTGAATGGCTGAATCAATCAAGTTCTATGTATGTTTAGTCGATATCTTTCACTCTTATATAATAAAAGTATCTACTCTTATTTCTTGTCTATGTGGCCTACAAGCGGAGATATTGCGACGCAAAGTTCGGATTTAAAACTTTTTTATAATAAGATATGTTGTCGATATTATTATTATCGATCCTAAAAATGTACTGTTGCAGCTTCTGGCGCAAGAACGCGGTGTATTGTTTCTGGCAAGAGTCACTGGTCAGCGAGTGCTGCGATAGGTTTATTTATGTCGCATGCTCCAATATGCTTCAATATACTGCTACTATAGCTTCTACAAAAACATTAGAGTGAGTAGGAGCTATGGTAAGAACATGTTGAAACATGTTTTGAAACAAGTGAGGTTATATGATTTTGAGTTCATGTGCAAATTACGAGCTTCAAGAAAGGGAGCGAGCATTGTGAGTAATGAGTTTCTCTTATATGCAATCCATATTTATCCAATAAACACATGATGATATATTAAACGTTCATTAAACGTAAAGTATAAAAAAATGGTATAAGAATGAAAGTGGTGTAGGAGATAACGTTCTAATTTTTACCATATTTATGTAATCGTATAATATATAATAATGATGTCCGTTTTTATTATGTTTGCATAATACAAAACAAATTTCATATTAGTTAAAAACCATTATAAGAAAGAAATGGTTTAATTTTAAGGGTCTTTATAAATATATATCTACGTTATAATTTACGTTATATTATATTATATA